AAAAATATAAATTTTTTCTTAATTAATATGTTTCATTAAAACTTAATGTAATTTAAGTAAAAAAAAATATAAATTTTTTCTTAATTAATATGTTCCATTAAAACTTAACGGAAAAATATTAAAAAGAAGTTAAATTTTTTAAACTTTAAGGATTTAAAAAAAAAATTTAGTACAAGAATTATAAAAGAACTTTTTTAAAAAATAGAGGATAAAAAAAAGTATTTAACTTAAGTTTTAAGTTTAATTGTCTAATTTATGTTATTTAAATGTAATAATATTTTAGTTTTTAATATTAAAATATAAATATTTATCTAACATTTATATTTTAAATTTTGAATAATTAATTTTTAATCATCAATTTTAAACTAATTATAAATTTAAAATCATATAAAAATATAAAAAAATGAAGTAAGAGCGATAAAAATTAAATAATGTCTATTTCAGTTATTTTAATATTAAAAAATCTTTTATAAAAAATTTTACCCAACAACTTTTCATTTCTGCAAGTATTTTTATAAAAAATTTTACCAAACACTTCTAACTTCTTAAAAACAGTACTTCCACAATAGATTCTCTTTAATAAAATTTCTATTAAAAGTTTCAACCACACCAAATAGACTATTAGACAATTGGTGCTCAAAAAAGCAGCTGCCCAAACAACATAGAAAGCCGCTACTATTAGTACGTCAGCCCTTTGGACTACAGGGGCCGGTGAGGGATTGCTGAGGGTGCTGTTGATTGTTTCACTTAGACATACGGCCAGTAAAAAATTGTTGTCATGTTCTTGCAGCTCCATCTCCAGCTCCAACCAGTTCTTATCTAACCAATACTTGAAACACAGTAGTACGAAGCAGATGGCAACCACTATCCAGGTTCCGAGCTTGAGTTGGAAGAGGTTGGTAAGCTACCGATCCAGTGACTCCGATTAGGAAACTGAAGAACCCAAGGTCGGTCCTCGGTTGTATAATCACCAGGGACGGAGCCAGGGGAGCGCAAGGGGGGCGGTCGCCCCCCCTCGGACTTTCGGAAAAAATAAATAGTTTCCATACTTAAAAAAAAAAATCAAATAAACCTTTTTTTTAAAAAAAATGATGTGTTCTAATTTTTATTTTTTTATAGATCTTATGATGACTTACTAACAATTCGAAAAATAAAATAAATTTTATAAAATATTTTTATTTATTTGATATGTTTTTTATTGCAATATATGCATAATTAATGATTATTTGTATCAAGTAATAAAATAAAAATGACTTAAAATTAGTATTATCAATTATTTAAAACATTTTTCTTTTTTGGTAAAATGTGAATTTATTACCAAAATCTACACAAAGCAGCTTTTTTTGGTTAAGGCCGCTATTAATGTTAGTACAAAGAATGAAAAAACTCCAAAACTAATGTATATTCAAACCTTAGCTATACATAAAGTTTCTAATCTCCATTGAGCTACAATTCTACTTGACATGGGAGAAGACCTTTCCTTTATAGACTCCAGTACTTCGTCTCGAACATCCATTTAAATCATATTAATTATTGCAGAAGGAGATCTGTACAGCTGTCTATGTATCCTGCTGTTGCTTTCAATCCAGATATCATATATTGATGCACACCAAGCTAATTTAACAAGAGAGCTCAACAATGCCTTATATTTAACTCTCTTACATAACCAATCCAAAGCATCTTGCCAAATGCAGTTTAATGGGATTTCCAACATAGAAGAAATCTTTTCCCAAATATGAGTAGTGTAGGGACATGAGAAGAAGAGATGGTTCCTAGTTTCACTTGCATTCCCACATAGCACACAAGTGTCATCAATGGAAGAAGACCAACTCTTTTGCCTAGACCTGGTAGAGAGTCTATCTAATATAGCCAGCCAAGCAATAAAACTATGTTTGGGAATCGAATTTGAGTACCAAATGAATCTAAACCAGGGTACCTTAGATCTTAATTTTATCCCTAAGGAAGTTCCAAGTAGCACTTGTTTGAAAAGAACCTGATGGAGAAGCCAACCAAACAACCTGATCCCCCATAGCTTGATTAGGATAGAATGTTCCACACAAAGCAATTTGAATTTGCAATAGTTTAGGGAACCTAGCAGGAGCCCATTTCCAATAATCCCCCTGGATTACATGAGACAGTTTTGCTTGAGAGGGAATGGCTGCAACCCGTACAATTTTCTGCCCATATGCTTCAATAAGAGGTCCCTTAGGATGCCAAGAATCATACCAGAGAAAAATAGTGTCACCTTTACCAACTATATGCTTCACCAGAGGTCTAGCATATGTTCTAAGTTTTAGGATTTTTCGCCAGCTCCAAATAGTGTCTACAGAAATTCCTACTGATCAAAAACTCTTTTCTTTAATATTCAGAACATTTAGTTTTACCATTTGGATAATATTGAGTAATATTTTATTATAAAAATTGTGTTTCAAATTAAAATTTAAATACATTAATTTTAACAATTTTTTTTACATTTAATGTCTTTAAAAATTTAATTTTTATATATTTAAATCTTAATCTTATTTATAAATGATAAATCAAAAAATTCATTTTTAGCAGATACATTTACAATAGCATTTTGTACCCTAAGATTATTTTTTGGCTGTCCCTTATAATCTCCACCAAAATTAAGAACAAGATTGCCGTGGTCAGGGGAAAAGAGAGGCTAACCGATGATTTCTCATTAAACTTCTCAAAAAGAATCCCAAGAATCAAGCATGTAAGGTTTGCTATTGAATTGACCTTAACGTCACATCTTCTATGGAAGAATCCCAGTCAACTCCACTGATTCGTATAACATGGCAGGACGGTGCAAGTGTGGTACAAGATCGCCGTTTTATTCCATTATGATCATATTCTGAACATAACCTCGTTTTTTGTAGACACAATGATGCAGCGGACAGAGAAATCTGGGCGAACAGAGTAGCTAGTGTCGCGCCAGTTCCCATGTCTTTGACAGGGATGGCAACGGTGTCCTGTGGGGTTGGAAGTCTCTCTCCATTATTTGCGAGGACAGTGATTCCCGTGAGAATTCTTAATAGAAGTAGATTTTGCCTCCCATTCTTCCTTTCTACAGATATCCTCATTTTTTGTCACTTTATATCAAAATATAATTTTTTTTACATATAATTAATAATATTTAATTATAATAAATAAAATTTTAAAAATTTAAATACAAT